TCCTTCGTCACACCGGACAGCTTGTACTGTTACTGAGTGATGCCGTTCGGGTTGAGGAACGTTGGCGCGACATACCAGCGGATGATCAACAACCTATTTGAAGGATTGTTGGGGCGCACAATGGAAGCTTATATTGACGACATGTTGGTGAAGAGTACCGACCAGTCACACCATAATAAGGATCTCCGAGCGTGCATGGAAATCATGCGCACGTACCGGCTGAGAATGAACCCGGCCAAGTGCATGTTTGCAGTGCAAACCAGGAAATTCTTAGGCTTCATGATGACGAAGAAGGGGATAACCCAACCCGACCAAGGTTAAAGCCATCTTGGAAATGCAACCTCCATCCACAATCCGCGAGGTCCAACAGCTAACCGGGCAGTTGGCCGCCCTCAGGCGTTTTTTATCCAAGTTAGCGGAGAAAGCCCTCCTTTTTTTTAGGACCCTGAGGAAGGTCAATGGCTTTGTGTGGGATGAAGAGTGCAAAACAACCTTCGCTGAGTTAAAAGAATATCTAATGTCGCCGATCATCTTGTCCAAACCCAAGCAGGGTGAAGACTTAGACGTTTATCTTGGCGTATCGAACCGGGTTGTTAGCACCGGTGTTGTCCCGAACGGATTCGGAAGGAGTCCAACGACCTGTATACTATGTCAGCCACGCCCTCCAAGGCGTAGAGCTTCGTTATTCCAGATTGGAGAAGATCGTTCTTGCCCTCTATGTCACGGCTAAGAAGCTTGCACCATACATCCAAGGGCATCGAATTCGAGTGTTGACGGATCAACCGATCGGAGCAGTCCTCTGGACATCCACATCTTCCGGTCGGTTGGTGAAGTGGACCATGATGCTAACACAGTTTGCAATAGAATACAGACCCCGCCCAGCCATTAAAGGCCAGGCCCTAGCTGATTTTGTGGTCGATTGCACAGCCCGAGATACACCGACCGAGGCACTCGGGAGAGAAGAGGCACCTTGGTGGGAAGTCGCCACCGATGGCTCCAGCAGCAAAAGAGGTGCAGGGGGAGGAGTCGTGGTTACGAGCCCGGAAGGATTCAAGATGTACTACGCCCTCATTTATCAATTCTCCCCGACCAACAACGAGGCCGAGTATGAAGCTTTCATCGCGGGCTTCCAGTATGCGAAAGATATTGGAGCAAAGTACCTCAAGGCAAAAACCGATTCTTCCTTAGTGGTAGGACAGGTGCTGGGCGACTTCAAAGTAAATGGAGAACGACTTGGCCGATACAGAGACCTGGCAGTTGAAAAATTGGACGCATTCTGGGCATATGCTGTAAAGCATGTGGCCCGGCTTAACAATGCTGACACTGACATATTGTCGAAGTTGAGTCAAGAAACCCCGAAGCATATATCGAAGATCGCTCGGGTCTTAGTCTTGCAAGCCCCTTGCATCGATCGCCTTGAGGTTACACTCGTCGAACCGGGCAGTGGAAATTGGATATCGGACATCAAGGGATATATCTAGCACGGTCGGTTACCAGAGGACGAGGAGAGAGCCCGGAAGGCAAAACTCCGTGCCCCCAGATTCCAGATCGTGGATGATCGACTATACCGACGATCGTATGGGGGACCTTTGATGCGATGCCTCACGGATTTTGAGGCCGACCTTGTTATGACTGAGCTACACTCGGGCCTTTGCTAGTCGCACCAGGGAGGGAGGTCCTTAGCTCGGAGGATCATGCTGATCGGTTACTATTGGCCGTCCATCCAGCTTGATTGTGACAAGCTGGTCAAAGCGTGCGAAACCTATCAAATCTTTGCAAGAATGCCTGGAAGGCCTGCCACCTACTATCAACCGGTCAGCACCGCGATCCCCTTCACCAGATGGGGGGTCGACATCATAGGGCCGTTTCCCCAGCTATCCGACAGCCGAAGGTTTATAATAGTTGCTATTGACTATTTTTCCAAGTGGGTCGAAGCCGAGCCTCTAGCAACCATAACCTCGCAGCAGTGCGCTCGTTTTCTCTGGTGGAATGTTGTGTCCCGATTCAGAATGACAGTCCAACTGGTCACTGACAATGGCAAACAATTCGAGGGGCAATATTTCCAAAACTTCCTGGCGACAATAGGAACAAAGTCAATCCGTTCTTCAGTCACATACCCCCAGGGGAATGGTCAGGTCGAAAACGCCAATCGGACTATCCTTGACGGACTCAAGAAGAAATTACACTCAACCGGCCGATCCTAGGCAGATGAACTCCCGTTCATCTTATGGACTTACAGAACTACCCTGAGGGAGGTATTAGACTATGTTATTAATATGTATTTAATTATGTAACATTCTGTTAGTGATCTAGTCTCTAGCCTATTAGATAGCTCTCTCTCTCTATGAGAGTATTAATGTAATCATAATTCTGTAACCGAATGAATTATCTTTTCCATTCTCATCTGGTATCAGTTAGCCAGTAGAAATCTGACGATTGTTCTCCCGTTTTCTCTCTCTTCCTCTCGATCGATCATTCCGTTCGACAATGTCATCACGTTCCGAACGTACACATACGACCACCACCATCTCCTCCCCAAACACAACCCCAAATTCCCTTCCTAGTGCGTACCACTTTGTGTCGCTAAAACTCACCCATCGGAACTACCTATACTGGAGAACACAAATCATTCCCTTTTTACGTGGATAGAGGTTGCTCCGTTTCATTGATGGCTCACGGCCATGTCCATCTCCGATGATCGAACTCCCAGCCAGCGAGCAGTCTGACGCCGCGTCTGTCACCCCGAATCCAGCGTACGAAGCGTGGATTGAGCAGAATGCTTCCATCCTATCCTTGCTCATATCTTTGATCTCGGAGGAGGTGATGTATCTCACGCTCGGTCAGACAACTTCGCGTTCGGTGTGGCTTGCGGCTGAGACAGCGCTCGGCTCTTCCTCGCAGGTACGCTGCCTCAACCTCATGGGGCAGTTTCAGTCGCTTCGACAGGGAGATAGCTCTACACCAGAGTATCTCGGGCGTGCCCAGCATTTGGTCGAGGATCTAGCACTCGCCGAGCGACCGCTGACATTTACGGAGCAAAACCTCTATGTTTTCCAGGGGTTGCGACCGGAGTTTCGGTCTAAGGCAGCCTCCCTGGCGGTCACCGGTACGCCGGTGACGATCCCGCAACTGGCGAATTATTTGCAGGCACAGCAGTTCCCTCGGCGTTATATGCCGGTCGAGGTGGACGGTATCAAGGCAGTGGTGGTCGCGGTCAGTCCCGCGGCGGAGGAGGTCGCGGCGGCATCCAGCAAGGCGGAGGTGGTCGCGGTGGACGTGGTCGGAACGGCGGTCTGCGCTGCCAAATCTGCAGGTCGCAAGGGCACTCCGCCGCTTTCTGCTTCCGGAGATACTCCGAGCCGCCACCTTTAGCGCATATGGAAATCACTGGAGACGGAGGCGCGATACCGGCAGTGACGTCTTGGCTGCCGGACACGGGTGCTTCCACGCACGCTACACCGGATTCCGGCGTGGTCTCGCAGGCCGAAGAATATCACGGTGATGATGTTCTGAGAGTGGGTAATGGCACAGGATTGGCAATCTCGCGTGTGGGTCATGCAGTTATTCCTTCGGCCACTAAACCATTTAAATTATCTAGTGTCTTACATGTTCCTGAGTTGTCAGTCTCTTTATTATCTGTAAATGGTTTTACAAAAGATAATAACTGCTATTTCGAATTTCATCCTAGTTTTTTTGTTGTGAAGGACTCCATCACACAGGCGGTTCTTCTTAAAGGTCCAAGCTCAGGGGGATTGTATTCTTTGTCAGTTCCGAACCCACATCATGCGTTCGTCTCTGCTCGTGCCTCTTCCACGGTCTGGCATCAGCGTCTCGGTCATCCTCACGAACAAGCCCTTAAACGTGTCTTACGGGAATGCCCGGTTGAAATCAATAAAAATGTAACTCCCAGTTTATGTTCGTCTTGTCAACTCGGGAAATCCTCTCGATTCCCATTAGATAGGGTATCTAAATCTAGCAATAATATTTTAGACCTTATTTACACCGATATTTGGGGTCCCACGCCTGTTCTTTCCGCGGATGGCTCACGTTACTTTGTACTCTTCGTAGATGATAACACCCGCTATCGTTGATATTATCCTCTAAGACTCAAAACCGATATATACAAAATATTTGATGTTTTTCAGGCGACGGTAGAACGTACGTTTTCACGTTCTATCAAGTCCATTCAGTCTGATTTGGGGGGGGGGGTGGGGGATATCAAAAGTTACATAAACTGTTTACCTCCTTAGGAATTGTGCACAGGCAATCATATGCCTATACGCATGAGCAAAACGAGCGTGTAGAACGCCGGCATCGGCATATTGTCGAGACCGGTCTGGCCATGATGGCCCAAGCGTATGTCCCACAAAGACATTGGGATCATGCCTTTGAAACAGCAACTTACCTTATAAACTGATTACCGTCCTCCTCACTCCAGTTTAATACACCTTACTACCGGTTATATCAGTCTCCACCCACTTACACATACTTACGTGTATTCGGGTGTCTTTGTTTTCCGTACCTTCGTCCGTACAACCGTCATAAAATCGAGTATCGGTCAAGTCCATGGTGTCTTCTTAGGTTACCCACCGTCCTTTAGGGGTTACCGCTGCATGGACCTAAACACCGGGAAAACTTACATCTGTCGCCATGTTCGCTTCGATGAAAGTCACTTCCCTTTTGCAAACAGGAATCCCGTGCAGTCTGGGCCACGAGAATCCGTACCCAGCTTACCATGGGGGTCCAGTCCCATTTTGCATCATAATGACATAGTTGAAACTTCGGTCACCATCCCTTGCCTTGTTGTAGAACCAGCTCCGGCTCGAGCACCTGTAGTCAAAAGACGAGGGCGTCGAGCCCAACCTCAGGAGCGGGCTCATGTTATGCGGCTCCGGCGTATGACACAGGGGACTGGGGAGCAGTTTTAGGTCCTCACGGCATCCACCGATGACCCAACTTGCTACTCTCAGGCAGTGGGGCATCCACAATGGCGAGACGCAATGGACCAAGAGTTCAACGCGTTACTGCATAACAACACATGGAAGCTTGTGCCCGCTACTCCTGGAACGAACATAGTGGGATGCAAATGGGTTTTTCGCACCAAGCGGAAAGCCGACGGCACGGTAGAACGCTACAAAGCCCGACTCGTAGCCAAAGGCTACAATCAAGTGGCTAGCGAGGATTTCTTTGAGACGTTTAGCCCGGTTGTTAAACCGATCACGGTTCGACTGTTACTTGCTTTAGCCATTTCCCGTGGGTGGACACTCCGACAGCTGGATGTTCACAATGCCTTTTTAAATGGGCACCTAGCTGAAACGGTTTATATGCGGCAGTCACCAGGCTATGAGGATCCTGATCGTCCTGATCACATCTGTCACTTGCAGCGCTCCCTTTATGGGCTGAAGCAGGCACCCCGGGCCTGGTTCTAGTGTTTAATGATTTCTTAATTCTCACAAGATTTGTTGCTTCAAAAACAGATGTTTCTCTGTTCCACTATTCAGCTGCTGATTCCCGGGTATTCCTGCTCGTCTATGTGGACGACATTATCATGCTCGGGAGTGACACGGCCTTGGTTGATTCCTTGCTAAAACAACTGGCGACGGCCTTCAAAATTCGAGACCTGGGGCAACCTACGTTCTTTCTTGGCATAGAAACCATTCCTGTACCGGACGGTGTGATTCTTTCACAGCGACGTTATATGCGGGATATTCTTCAGCGAGCTGGCATGACGGACTGTAAGGCGCTAGCCACTCCGGCCTCTTTGACTCAGCCTGTGTGTCAGTCCGCTGATTCCTTCGACAACCCGACACAATACCGCCGTCTTGCCGGGGCTCTTCAGTACCTCACCATCACTCAGCTGGACCTATCTTATTCCGTCAACCGACTCTGTCAGTTCTTGCATTCACCTACTAATGAACATTGGGGCCTATTAAAGCGAGTTCTTCGCTACGTTAAGGGAACTTTGGAATACGGTCTACGCATCACTACGTCAGTGTCCTCGGAAATTCATACCTACTCCGACTCTAACTGGGCTGGCTGTCCGATTGATCGCAAGTCCACTAGTGGTTACGCAGTGTTTTTTAGTAAAAATCTTATTTCCTGGGTCTCTCGGAAACAACGCACCGTTGCACGCTCTTCGACTGAGGCAGAATAAAAGGGACTCGCGGATGTGTGTGCTGAGGTTACCTGGGTTGTGTCTTTATTACGGGACCTTGGCTTAGGGCCTGCCACTCCACCAACACTGTGGTGTGATAATCTCGCACCAAACATGTTGAGGTTGACTACCACTTTTGTTCGGGACAAAGTTTCGGCTGGTGAGTTCCAAGTTCATTTTGTGTCCACCAAAGATCAGCTAGCAGATATTTTCACCAAACCACTTCCAGCAGCGCGGTTCACTGCTCTTTGTGACAAGCTCAATGTGGTTCCACACCTACCTTGTGCTTAAGGGGGAATGTTAGTGATCTAGTCTCTAGCCTATTACATAGCTCTCTCTCTCTCTATGAGAGTATTAATGTAATCATAATTCTGTAACCGAATGAATTATCTTTTCCATTCTCATCGGAGGAAACGGGAGAAACACCATTCGCACTAGTCTACGGGGCGAAGGCATGACTACCCATCGAGGCCTGGATTTCGACCTCAAGGGAGAAAGATTATTAGTAAGAAGAAAACGACCGATCGATGGCCCTCGATCTCGATTGCATTGAGGAGAAAAGAAAGTTGGTCGCCCGGAGGGTCGTGGAGTACCAAAAGAAAATCAAGGCAAGTAGAGACATCCGGGTCCGCCCACGATACTTTCAGGTGGGGGATTATGTTCTACGAAAGCGAGAAGCGAGCCAACCCCAAGAGGGTGGGAAACTGGCTCAAAATTGGGAGGGTCCCTATGTTGTCTCGGCCATCATACGCCCAGGGACTTACAGACTGGAGACAACCACCAACCGCCTGATTGACAGGACGTGGAACTCTGATAACTTGGTGTTGTTCTGCCAGTAGACTAGCTTGGCTTACATTTCTTTCGCATTGTAATCGACGACCGGGAGTAGAAGTTAGGATCATGTACCCGATCGTAGAATTTGTAATTTTATCGCAAGTATTTGTAATCGGCATCTGGGAGTAGTAATTAGGCCACGTGTACTCGGGCCCGACTTTGTAATTTCTGTTGTTATAATTATGTAAGGACCACCCTCGGGGGGCTACGCATATCGTCAATGTCTTCACCGAGAGCGAAACACTGAAACATCGCGATTCAAAACCGTCTTCGACCGAAACGTCGCGTAAACTTTTTCTGGTTCTCTAACCGATGATGACCGCAATGTCACGTAAACTTTTTTCCGGTTCTCTAACCGATGACGACCGCAATGTCGCGTAGGACCACTTTTTGTTCTCCGCATAGGATCTGTGCTTGGTATTTCCCTAGCCAATCCATGCCCAAAATCACCTGTACCCCATCTAGTTTGAATCGGATAAGGTCGCTGGGAAAATCCACCCCTTGTATGGTAATCATTACATTTTCGTACATGCGGTCGCATTTTAGGATCTCGCCGGAGGCCACCTTGACCTGAAGTCGGACCTTGGTGCTGGCGTTGAGGTCGAGCTGAGTGGCAAACTCAGTTGCTATAAACGAGTTGGTAGCCCCCGAGTCAAATAGTATAGTGGCGGGGGTGGCGTGTACCAGAAAGGTTCCGGATACTATGTTGCTATCTCCAATCCTGGCTTTGCTTAGAGTAAGGATTCTCCCTTGAGTGGTTGGTGTTGTGACCTGTTGAGGTGAGGTGGCCCTGGGGTTTTTAGGTCCGCGGTTGGAGTTCATATGATTTTCTTCGGATTTCCTTTTGTACCCCAGGTGTGTCTCCCGGGGTTGGTTTGGCACTTGTTGTAGTTGGGATGCCTTGGCATAGGCCTCCCCGAGGGTTCCTAGCTCTTGTGTGGCCAGGGCTTTTTGATATTCGGGGTCAAGGCCTGTTATGAACTTTTCGATCTTGATCCTCTCGGTGGGTACTAGCTCGGGGATGAGGCAAGCCAGTCGGTGGAATCGTTGGTAGTATTCTGTGATCGAGGTTGCACCTTGTCTTAGGTGGAAGAATTCTTCGTATATGGTGGCTCTTAGATGATTGGGATAGAATCGTTCGTAGTCGTGCCTTTAGGGATTCCCAGTTGAATTCATGGTTATGTTTACATGTGGGTCCCTCGTGGTCCCACCAGGTATCGGCCTCGTGCTTGAAGTAGAAGGAGGCTATTCTTACTTGGTGGTCTTCGGGGCATTTGGTTGCCTTGAATATCTTGTCGAAAGTCCCGATCCATTCCTCGAGGGCTGTGGGGTCTTCGTTCCCTGAGAAGGTGGGTGGTTGATGTGCCGAGACTTGGTGGTGGATTTCCAAGTTCTCGTTTGTTCGTAAGGGTTGGGGAATGGTAGTCCTCAGTGCCTGGGCAATTTGGGCCAGGCGTTGCAGATTCTGTGTCAAGAATTCCTGAGTGGGGAGTTTCGGTGTCCCTGTCTGTCCCTTTTTCGGTGCCATCCTGGTGTTCATAAGTCGATGTTATTTTGTATTCTTACCTGGATGCAATAAGTGAAGGGGGAGTTTCTTCTTAGAGAGGGAGTAAGTGGGTGGGTTATGTGTAGGTTTCACAATCTCACTGCGCGTCCTAGGATTTCCAAATCTTATGTTCCTAAGTACCTAGAGTTTGAGCTTAATGTCCTAAAGTCTGGCCTTAAGTGTCTTACCCTAGGGTCAATCTTAGGCTCTGATACCAACTGTAACACCCCAGATTTTCAAGATATTTAAAACTTATAAAATAAAGGTGAAATCTCATTAAATCTCAAAACATAATTCAAGAGTGCGGGGTGCTATGCCACACCTGAGCTAGAGAGCTCAGGTGCACAGGCTAACTAACTAATATCCTCAAACGGTATCAATACTAAATCATGGCACGCAGGCCGAAAGGGAAGAACTATCTAAGCTACGCCCAAGCTTCTAGCGCGCTCCAGTGATCTACTTGTCTGTGCCTGAAAGCCAAATATATCTGTTCAGCGAGAGATGCTGGTAACCCACTCCAACGTGTTGAAATACAGTACATATAGATATATATATATATAGATATACGAAAACCATTTTTGAACATGAAGATATATCCTACGAACTCTAGCTTTTAAACACTACAAAAAAAATCACGATTCGCGACGGAAAAATTCCGTCACGAAAACACGAAATTTCGTCGCTAAAAGGGTTTAGTGACGGAATTTTGCATTTTCGCGACGAAATTCATTCCGTAGCCTCCAGGCTTGTCGTATTTCATTTTGCAACGGAAATAATTCGTCGCGAGCAGTGGCGACGGAAAATCACAACGGAATTTTCCGTCGCGAAATTGGCTACGAATATCATTCCGTCGTGAATCTGTCGCGGTTTTGGCAACGGAAATGTTTCCTTCATTCGCCATTGTGTGAAAAAATATCCATTGCAAAACTCATATTCCGTCTTCTATGCCGTCGTGAAATATAACAACAGAAATAATTATCGTCGCGATTCCATCGTTATCCTATCCGTTGCAAATTTCGTGTTCCGTCACAAAATTCTGTCGTAAGAAAACGACGGAACAAATTGTCATCGTGATTCGATCGATAACTTTTCCGTTGCAAATTTCGTCTTCCGTTACAAAATTTCGTCGTAAGAAAAACAACGAAACAAATTTCCATCGTGATTCCATCGCTAGATATTTCATCCCTAAAATCAAATTTCGTCGCGATTATGCTAAATAATTTTTTTTAATATTTTAGGAATTATTATTATATTACAAAATTTTAATGTTAGTATTTAAAATATTAATATACAATTATATTTATAAACAAAAACACTATTAATAAAATACAATATAATTTGTATTATAAAAGTAATATTGTTTTATAGTACCAAAAAAAAAACTAATTAATCTCTAAACAACAATATAATAATGCATAAAAAATCGATATCGAATTCAATCCTGTTGCAGTGAGGTTGATGATGGAGTACCAGCGCGGTGTGGTTGATGATGGAGTACCAGCTCTCTCACTCTCAAGAATGCGCTGCTACATAAGAAGAATAAGTTTTCAAATTTTGAATATCATCTTGCATCTTTGCAAAATTAGCATTGTCTAATGGTTGCGACGTTGAGGTTATATTATCCGATGTGTTAACATTAATTGGACCACAAATGAAGCTACCATATGAGTCAATTCCATAAACTCTTCTTTTCTTATCATGCCCGCCAACCGTAGACTCTCATCTACATCCTCTACATTTTTTGTTAATACTTCCCGTTGAAAATGCAACTTGCTGCTATAAAAGTTAAAAAATTTAGTACAATAGGCACAATAAAATCTCAACATCAACTCAATGGGTACACTAAAATAAAATCACAATGATTCTATTACAATAATCTTAATAAAGATTTCCGCCAATACAATAGTGTTAAAAAATCTCAACTAATAAACATATATTGTTTTCAAGCACATAAAAATTTTAAGATCATAGATATCAACTAATAAACATATATTGTTTTCATTCTTCTCACTAGGCATGAGAAGAATCTTATATTCTCTATGATTTTAGCATTAATAAACTGCATTTATATATCTTAGCGAGCAGATGATGCATTGAATATATAGAACTATAAGTGCTCGAAAAACCACAGTAGCAATTAAACATAAATGTTCAAGCAGTAGGTTGAATATAAAAAAACAAGAGTTTGAAATATCCATATGTAACCACAGATGCAAGAAAAGTGACAATTACTCTCATCAAAAGCAAATCTAATGCAAAATGTCTCATCCTTTAAGTACCTATTAGCAAAACCAACAGCATGCCAAACCCAAGAGTTTTCATTTCCCGCATGTTCTTGCATTGATATTGTAGGAAGAACTACAACAAAGTTAAATTAAATCAAATCAAAGACACCAGTATACTAGCTAAGAGAGAAACATAATGAAAGACACTTAAAAAATTATAGAAGCAGGGGAAGAGAAAAACTCACCTAAGTGATTGGCACATATTTTGAGTGTCTTTGACTGCCTCGTCACAAGCCTAACTTTTTCAATTTCTTCAAAAACTTTACAGTCCCAATTCCTCTCTTTTTCCACTAATTTCCTTCTTTATCAAATTTATACAGCTTTGCCTTCCTATA